TTTTTTATGGTTAGTTTTGCTTGTTATGTTGCATTGTACACAAATATATTGTTGTGCAAAAGTGAACAGTAACATCGAAACGAAGAACAAAAAGATCGACATGCATGAATTAAGTGGTTTGACTATTTATCTACATTCATTGGAACAATATGATCGACATGTACAAAAATATTGATTATTTCTTAGTTGCCATGGTAATGATGTTACGTGTGGTGGTTTTACAGTCAGAAAATGATACTTGGATAGGGCCAAATACAAACAGGGCACCCCCTTGTATGGATGGGGCCACGTTGGCTTAGTCCGTCCAAGATTTCTTTTTACAATCATATAGATTGTTTTAAATTAATAACATTATTATATAATAAATTTTTACGATTATACTTTTATTAATTTATGGAAATTATACTTGTATTTCTAGCACAAATAAATCTTTACCTTGTATACTTTATGTTGGAGAGCTCCATCGTATTTTCTTCAAAACATTTAAAAAAATAAAATAAAATGTAGACGAAATAGAAATGTAGTGAGTGAAGAAGTCGCTAATGCGGCTTTCCGTGTATGAAAGCCCTACATCCCTTGCCCAAATCCCCAACCCCGGCGCCTTTATGGCTTTTCCTCTACATTCGTTAGATAACCCAAAACCCTCAAAAATCCTAAATCAATTCAGTTCATTCACTTTGAATTCTCACTCTGAATTCACTGCCCAAGAATCATCACCATGAATTTCTTAGCCAGAGTCAAAATAAAACCCTATCTTTTGATCTCTTCTCCTGTACAAAGAAAATGCCTCTTTTTACCTAGCCCCGTCTATTGCTTCCAACAGTTATATCTTTATTCCACAAGAACTAGCACTGGTACTACTTCTAACGGTAGCTCGAACTTCGAAGAACCCAAAAAAGCCAGGACCCAGAAATCTTCAGAATCATCTGTGAGTTGGTCTCAGAGGATCAAGAAACAAGCAGAGGCACCAAATATTTGGCCAAGGCCAACTGAGATCCCATATCAAGAAAAGGTTGCTAATTCTGTGAATCTGATTGGTTACATAACGAGGCCGGTTCGATTTGAGTCTACCCCTGATGGAAAATACTGGGCTGCTACGGCAATCTATCAAGAAAATGGTAATGAGAACAAGTCTTTGTTGATTCCCATAGTCTTTAAGGGTGATTTGGCTCATGTTGTGGCTTGCCATGTGAAGGAGAATGATTGTGTTTATGTGGCCGGGCAGTTGAGTTTGGACCCTATGGTGTTGGTGTTGAGTGAGAGTCTCGGTAAGTATCATGTTGTGGTGCAACATCTAAACTTTATGGAGGGATTGAAGAGGAATGTTTTGGATCATGAGACCAAGAAAAAGGGGATTTCAATGGTTGAGGAACCTGTTAAGAAATGTGGAGCTAAGAAAGAGGAGGTGTCAATTGTTTATAGTGATAGTGTTTCTAGGGTGGATGATGAGTCTTTAAATCAGACTTGGAGAGATGCATTAGAACATGTGGAAAAGTCAAGTTCTTTAAGCATGAAGAATGATGGTGTCTCTAGTGTTTCTGTTGAGGATTCTGTTAAGCGATCATTGAACAGTGGCTCTAAGGCAGCCGAAACTCCAGCAGCTGCTGGATTCGAGGGCAACAGGAAAAGAGTATTTGAGAACGAGTCTAAACCAGAAAAAGGTAATGTGAAGGGTGGAGAGATTGCTAGCAAGAAAAAATGTGGAGAGTCGATCTTGGATTCTTGGAGGGATCTTGTGAAAAATCCGGAGCAGTGGTGGGATTATCGTGGACACAAGTCTAATGGATTGGTTAAAGGAAAATACCCAGATTTTAAGCACAAAGAGAGTGGTGACCCTCTCTGGGTGGACAGTGCTCCAAAATGGCTGTTTCCAGGTCTTGGAAAGTTGGATTTTGATGTTAAGGTTTTTAAAGCAAAGCAAGTACAAGATGGAAGAGGAGATGACTCTTGGAAGAGCTTGGTGGAAAATCCCGATAAATGGTGGGACAATAGATCAAACAAGAGGAATCCTAAACAGCCTGACTTTAAGCACAAGGAAACAGGTGAAGTACTATGGTTAAACAGCTCACCAGATTGGGCATTGTCTAGGTTGCCACCATTGAAAGATTGCCAAATTTTTGCTGCTGGAAAGAAGAACGTTTACACAGAAGGGAATCTATGAGAGAGACCCTCGAAAAGGGTTCCAACTGATTGGAGAAGTTTATAGAGTGTCATGTACGTCCTATCTTTGAGTTTCTGAGGTTTGGAGACATGAATTTTGATGCTCCATAGGCATTGCAGATGTTTTGGGTTTGAGATTTTTTATTCAACAACTGTAAATCAATATGAAAGAGAAGATGTGTTAGAACTTTGAAGTTCTAACTGTTTTGATTTTTCCCTTGTAATATCTGCTGTTATGGATTATGTGGTGTAAATTTATATATCTTTTGCAGATTTTGTTTGAAGTCATGCCATTATCAAATACTGCATCAATATTTGCTTTTCTTGGTTTTGTGAACCAAAAATATTAATTATATTTACACAAAATCTAACACTAAGAAGCTCATGAGCAGAAAATTACGTGATATAATTTTGTGGTTTTGAATGATTATTTGCAATCATCTGTTCACGGTAAGCTGCAACTTCTCCCTTGGGTGTGGGGGCTGTGATGATTGGAACTACAGAGAATATCATCACAATGTGCAATAGACTAAATCAAATGGTGAGCGTC